AGTATTGATAGAAGCCTCAACTGATGCATTTGGAGTTAGTGGTAACCAAAGTAGATGGTGAAACAAAATATCAAATTCCCACCAAAAGACTTCTAAAGCACCTTTCTTTATTTATTAAGCACAAAAATGTAATTTTGAACCACATGAAACTGCCCACAGAGAAAAGTAAATAAAAAAAATCTTCCGTGCGGATGTACAGCTTACATAATATAATGTAACAAGCAAGCATAGAATCGCTCAATGCATGAAGAACAAAAAATGCAACAGTTCATAAATGCATTGATATGACAGTATTACATATAGAATTATCAGAGAGAAAGATGGCAATGACACCAAATGTTATATTTTAAAAGAAAAAAATCCACAAATCCTAGCTTCAGACAATTTATAATGAAATCTAAAATCTAATTACTTCAAATATTGATAAAAACCTCAACTGATGCATTTGGCATTGGTGGTAACCTAAGCAGATAGTGAAACCAAATTTCAAATTCTTAGCATAATTCCTCTGAAGCACCTTCTTATTCTATTTATTAGGCCCAAAAAAATGTTATACTGAACCACATTAAACTGCTCAGCGTGAGAACTTAATAAAAATATCTTCCTTATAGAACTAAATGTTACAAATTATAAAGTAACAAGCAAGCAAAGTAGCTCAATGCATTGAACAACAATAAATGCAACAGTTCGTGAACAATATTTAACTTTGCATAAAAAAATTCATAGCTAACTTAGTTATTTCAGATATGCAATAATTTGTTATGTTAGAACACACAGCTTTCATATTATTTCCAGAAGTCATGAAACCAAGAACAAATAAAGAATTAAAAGGCATGGCACATACTTTAGCATAATTGTATGCATGCCAGCAAAATGGCTCCTCTAGATCAACTGAAGGAAGATCCTTGTTCATTTTCTCCATTAAATACTCCTCTATGTTAACCATATTGTTTGCATTCTCTGTCTCAGCATCACTATCTTCATCTACTGTGCTCCCAATCAATGACCTAGACGAAGGTAGCCTTTGGATTTGCCATGATGCAAATTTAACTGTTCCAGGGAAAGTTGCCTCAACACTTTTCCCAGTAAAGCCCCGTCCACTTGTGACAATTTTCCATTCAACAGAGTGCTCAGTGGTTGAAACTGTTCCAATTGATGGAGTCCCATCAAAAGACACAACTCTTCTCCTAGGAAAGGGCATGGTGACATTACAAAACTCCATTGTCAGAGGAGCCTTATAGCCTTCCATTAGATGCAACTTGAACAAAAATGCACCTTCATCTTCAGAGACCATTGACAATTGGTAAAACCCCTTGACAGGAGGTCCAAGGCCACACATTGCCTGATAACGCATTAAAACAAAATTACCCAGTGGCGGTTGAAACATCACAGCCTGCTTATCAACACCTTGCTCTGGAACCTGGGCACAAGGATGAAAAGATAAAACTTCAATGTGAGCAGTGTTCAACCCTGTAAATGGGAATGACACATCGGGTAACCCCTCTAATTCTGCTCGACAGTTTATTTGACCTGAGACAGATAAACTATCAGGAATCTCGTCTCTATCATACATTGCAGCATGAATTGTTTCATGAATTGTGAATAACAATCTCTGTTTTCCTTTGTACAAATATGGTTTCCATAGTGGTTGCTTGAGGTCTTGAGGAGGCAGATCTGATGAAGAAAAGCCATTAACCTTGATTGCAAAAATATTAGAGTAGTTCAGGTCCACAGGTGTACCTAAAGAAAAAGGTAATCAATCATGCACATTAGGTAAAATGCATACTGATCAATAAGCATACAGTTTAGAGAAATATGAGATGAGAACTACCATAATAAAGAGTACTAACCAAAGGGCATTGCGCTGCTTATAAAACTTCGAAGTGCATCCTTATCCAAAGCCCTTGAACCAAGTTTTGGTGCATCTGATGTAACAGTTCCTACCACAGCAGTGCCAGAAGGTGCAGAAGAAGCAACTGGTGCTGCAACAGGTTTTGCTCTAGAGGAGATGCCTGATATTCCAATACTGCCTGTCAGTGAATCCAACAAGCCTCCAACTGATGGTGATGCATTTACTACAACTTCAGGTTCTAACACATCACCAGTAATTACATCACCAATTGCATGTGCCACCATGAATGCCCTGTAACAGAAACCAACAAAGCTGTTCACCAATTATAAACACCCAATTACTCACTTAAGAAAGTAAAATCCAAGTTCTCTCGCCTTGTACAGCCAACTCTACTCGCCCTAGTTTAAGCATGTTAGCACCAAATTATTCCATTGTAAAGATTTTCTTTTTGATGAAGAGTACAAGTTATACAAGCAAACTAAAGCACAATTAGTGCTCCTTATATATAAGAACTTTTATATAAGGAAAGAGCAACAGGGCCTACTCATCCTTTAATCAAAACAATGTTATCAAGACCTTCCAAAATCAAACTCCCAACAGACTTGACCTCACCATTTCCTTTCAAAATTAAATGGCACGAAACCCAAAAAAAAAAAAACAAAAAAAAAAAAAAAAATCCCTTAATATTTGAACATTCAACAAGCTTGATAGATCAAAGTTCCACTGGGAATTCATGTGCTCCGATGTACTTGCAGATTTAAGTAAGGGCACAAAAATAACATCACTTAATTTCTCAAAAACATTCATAGGAGTTGAATTGGTTGAAGATATGAAAAGTTTGTTCACAAAAAAAAAAAAAAAAAAACGGAAAGAGTTAGCTAAATCATGTTCTTTTCAAGTGTCTGAGGGTCTAATTCCAATGGAGCCTAGGTGAATATCATGCAAGATTTTTGGTTATTTTACAAACTTAGAAGCTAACAACATTAGGAATGTATTGATTTCAAATTCAATTCAATGCTGCTCCACCAAAAACTAGTAGAGTATCAAGAGGAACAATTTTATCAGTTCAAAGTTGAAGACAACTAGCAACAACCTTGATTGCATAATCTGTCCTTAAAAAAAATAAAGCAAACAACTTACCATACCCTGTGATGGACGGAAGATCAAGCAGGAGGGAAGACAAACTATCATCAACTCCAACAGCATTTCCACAATCAGATCGTTTACATAGTCTCGTGTATGCTTTGAGGTGTCTTGGCTCAACTAGAGGCAGTACAAGGATAGAATAAGGGCCTTTTATGTGCAAGACTAATGGCCACAGCAGATGATTCTCTCCTCCCTCCTCTACATCAATGTTGAGGCTTATAACATGTCGTGTAATTGGGTCATCAACCCATGAATCTGACCCTTCAGTTGACTGAATTACCCGTATGCCAAAACCACGCACAGATCCCTCCCTACATAAACACAGCTAAACTAATTAATTTCGACCAGTAAAATAGCAAGGGAAAGATTATTAATGCAAGTAAGACTATCAATCAATCCATTTCTATTATATATGTGTAAAAAAGCAACAAAAAGCCAACATTATTTATTTGATCATCAAACACAATTAAGTCAACCTAATACAGGATCCCAAGAGGGGTTACCGACATTAAGAATGATATTCCCTAACGAGGAAGAAAATTAGTAGATTTTTTATAATTAACAAATTATAAAGTACATAATTATAATCTGAAGTAAAAGCATACCTTCTTTTTCTCTCAGCAAAAGCAGCAGCAAACTCGGAATCAGTAGGTAGTAAAGGTAAAACAGTGTACTTAACAGGATCCTCGCTGCAGCTTTCATTTTCAGTCTTGCAAGCTGCCTGCCAACGCCTCTCCACCACCGGAAACCTCCTGATTTTCAAAATGGGAGAAACAAAATTAATATTAAAAATAGAGTAGTGCTACAGTTACCGACAGGTGTGCACCGAATTTGTGTACCGAATGACGTGGCAAAATCCTGACCGTTGATTCATTAAAAGTTAATATTAATCAACAGTCAAGATTTTGCCACGTCGTGCACAATTTCGGTATACACTTTTCGGTAACTCTATCATTTTCCTTAAAAATAAGAATGAATTTACACTAATGGATTAGAGAATTATTTCTGATATCCAAATTCCTAATGATTTACCACTTATGATTCAACGAAAGATAACTGCAGATACTATATTTGATGAACATATATGTAGAAGATCGAAATCAGAACAAAGTAAATTTGGTAATGTAAAAAAAAACCTGGAGAAAACGACGGCGTCGAGGTTGTTGACGACCCAGAGAGCTCTGATGCAGCAACCAACGGGCATGGCTTGGGGTGACTTCTTTGTTTTTCAGTGACGCTAAATCAATGAATGGATACGCCTCCGGTTAGTCGGACACGGAGATGCCGTGCCCGTGATTGATTTTCTAATACTACAGAAGAACCCTTGAGACGACACCGCCTTTAAATTTTACACACGTCATGACGTCAACCACCATTTCCCCATTAATTATCTCACAGGCTTAGATCATTTTCACCCTTCAGGTTTTAGTGAATAAAAAGGAACCCATAGGTTCTAAAAGGTAACATTTCACACCGTAACATTTGAGCAAATGTAATTATACCCGTGCTGTCGATATCTGTTACTCCAAATCTAACCGAACAAGGGCAAAGTTGACTTTTAATCTCACTAATTATGTAAAATAATAAAAAGTTAAGTTTAAAACAATTAAACTAAACCTGTTTTTTTCTATTATTATTCTTTTAATTCTCCATTAATGTCACTTCTTTTTCTATCACAAGACTGATGTGTGTTTGATTCTTTTATGTTCTATATGATATTTATGAAAGAGACTAAAGAGGAGGCACTTTGGTAGGGAAGGTAAATAGAGATTTTGTAATTAAGGGGCTTTAGTATTTGACTAGGTTTACTGGGCCAATTAACAGATTTGGTAACGGCCATTAGCGGTTAGCTACTTAGCTGTCACTTTATTCAAAGATTAAGAATGCTTCGTCTCACAGAAAAATGGTGACATGCTAACACATTAAAGTGAGAGTCAAAGTACTGATGAGAAGACAATTTCCAAGTATAATGTTTCACAAACTTTTATTTTTCTTAAAAAGGATTATCATACATCAGAGACTCTAATTTATTCATGTAAACTGCCAAAACTTTCTTACACATGGTACTTACAAACTTTCACTCTTAAGTTTATTACAAACCAATTATACAAAAAATTGAAATGTATTTAAGCTGAACTGAGCAATCAAAAGGGCTAAAGAAGAGAAGCGGGATTTTTTTTTTTTTTTTTTTTCAAAAAACAAAGTAAACAGGGATATACAAAAGCACATCTTCATCCTCTTCTGCAATTTTTTTTCTTTTTTTTCTTTTTGGGTATTAACAAGCTCTGCATATAAATAACTAGGTTGTTTGATCTAAAGGTCTATACAGAGGTATGAGATAACAGAACCGGCCCTCCTTCGGGTCCTCTGACTCACCTTCCACTTCTCAACCATCACCTTTTTTATATTGATGCAACTGGAAACCACAGTGGCAACTCCAACTGCAGTAATCCCCGGGCAATACACCATGTGACATGACTCAAGCATTGTGCAGTTTTTAACAAGATGGGCTAAACCAATGTCTGTGATTTGACGGCAGTGGGATAACACTATGTCCTTGAGTAATGGACAACCTTCTCCTAACTCTGCCATTGCCATATCTCCCAAATTCTGTCAATCATGAACCAAATTTGGTAAATACTGCGTAAATAAATAAGAACATGTAATGAGGGGCGGGGAGAGAGGACTTACCTGGAGAACGCTTACATCTAGGTAATTGAGTTGAGGGCACCCTCTTGCAATGGCTATAATTCCGGCATCACCAATTTGGTGGCAACCACTGACATTTAGATGTTTCAAGGAGCAGCCCTGACCTATGGCAATGAGAGCTTCATCCCCCACTCTAATTATAGCAGATAAGATAAGATGGAGAATCAGAAAGGTAAAAATATTTAGAGATGTAAGAAATGATTTATTGTTTAATGTTATACAATTTAGTTCACAAAACTTACCTATATATATAAAGACTATCTAATGTCTAAAATTCTATGAAAAATCAGACAAGCCAACACAAACAGTTTACAGCATTTCCCCAAATGATGAACAAGCAAATAAACAAAGAACGGAGTGACAGCAGCCTGTTGATTATTAATTTATTTTAACAAAAAAAACATAGATATTACATACAAGAACAACCAAGGTAAGTCTACATGGAAATTGAACCAACATAAAGCTAGAAGAAGATTTCACCTGTCACAAAATCGAAGGCTGAGCTCAGTCAGAGACTTGCAATTCTCACCAACAGCTACGATTCCCTTGTTCCCAATCTATTAACAACCATAATATATAAATTTCTTACAGCAGATATATCTATTACATCATTTAAACATCATAAAGTTTTAGTGAAATTATTATATTACAGATGAACAGCTAAACAAAAACTATAAGACACAAGAAAAAAGAAACATTGGTTATCTAAAATTCCATCATTTATAACATTTCCAAAGATCCCCATTCTCATTTCTAAAAGGTTCCAAACTCAAACTCAAAGATTGTTAACGTTAGCAACTTCCAAACATAATCTTTTTAACTGTCATATTTATGCCATCAATAATTCTAGTGACAACAATCTCCAAAAATTTAACAAAAATAAGAAATAATAATAACAAAACCTCTTTAAGCAAGAGAGAACCTTATAGCATCGACGAATGTGAAGTTTCTTTAAATTCTGGCAGCCTCTAGCTATACTGCCAATGCCCTCATCTCCAATATTAGAGCAATCTACCAAGTGAAGAGCTTGCAAGAACTTACAGCCCCTTCCAACTAAAAGAAGAGCCGAATTACCAATTCTTTGGCAGTATAATAAAGCTAACTCAGTGAGGCTCCTGCAAGTCATCAGAAAGTTTCAAATTGAAATCATCAGAAAGGTACTTAAAGATGGTAAATAACATCAAGTCAAAGAAATTTTGCAATTTGATGCACTAAAAAAGTGGGACAGATATGCAATACTAGCTGAAACTATGTTGAGGACATGTAGAAGTGACTTCTGATAGAGTTGCAATGAAATATAGCAAAAACGCTTTTGTGACCAAAACAAGAGTTCCCTGATTACCACATATATACAACAAATTAAATTAGGCTAATAAGAGAGAAGCATACTGGCAAGATTGTCCAATGGACTCCAGTCCCAGAGTCCCAATATTGTGGCAGCCATTGACTTCAAGATGTGCAAGTTCTTTGCAGCCTGCAGCTATTGCTTCCAAACCCTTGTCACTCAGGAAATAGCAATCACTTAGAGTGAGATTTTTTAACTTCTTACACCCATTTCCTATAGCACTCAAACCCCTGAAACGTAAGATAACCGTCTCAAAATTTGCGCATCATCCCAATTTAATGATGACGCACAAGGAGAAATTCAGATATTCAAGGAACCTTATAAAAATTATAATTGCCAGAATTTTGTCACCTATAATTCTAATTCAGCCTCATCTTATCCATAGCATGAAAAATACTCAGGTAAAGACATTGAAGCAATATCTCCAGATTTTGCATTCAATAAAGGAACTAATATAAGAAAAAATAATGACTTATCATGCAGANTTTTTTTTCTTTTTGGGTATTAACAAGCTCTGCATATAAATAACTAGGTTGTTTGATCTAAAGGTCTATACAGAGGTATGAGATAACAGAACCGGCCCTCCTTCGGGTCCTCTGACTCACCTTCCACTTCTCAACCATCACCTTTTTTATATTGATGCAACTGGAAACCACAGTGGCAACTCCAACTGCAGTAATCCCCGGGCAATACACCATGTGACATGACTCAAGCATTGTGCAGTTTTTAACAAGATGGGCTAAACCAATGTCTGTGATTTGACGGCAGTGGGATAACACTATGTCCTTGAGTAATGGACAACCTTCTCCTAACTCTGCCATTGCCATATCTCCCAAATTCTGTCAATCATGAACCAAATTTGGTAAATACTGCGTAAATAAATAAGAACATGTAATGAGGGGCGGGGAGAGAGGACTTACCTGGAGAACGCTTACATCTAGGTAATTGAGTTGAGGGCACCCTCTTGCAATGGCTATAATTCCGGCATCACCAATTTGGTGGCAACCACTGACATTTAGATGTTTCAAGGAGCAGCCCTGACCTATGGCAATGAGAGCTTCATCCCCCACTCTAATTATAGCAGATAAGATAAGATGGAGAATCAGAAAGGTAAAAATATTTAGAGATGTAAGAAATGATTTATTGTTTAATGTTATACAATTTAGTTCACAAAACTTACCTATATATATAAAGACTATCTAATGTCTAAAATTCTATGAAAAATCAGACAAGCCAACACAAACAGTTTACAGCATTTCCCCAAATGATGAACAAGCAAATAAACAAAGAACGGAGTGACAGCAGCCTGTTGATTATTAATTTATTTTAACAAAAAAAACATAGATATTACATACAAGAACAACCAAGGTAAGTCTACATGGAAATTGAACCAACATAAAGCTAGAAGAAGATTTCACCTGTCACAAAATCGAAGGCTGAGCTCAGTCAGAGACTTGCAATTCTCACCAACAGCTACGATTCCCTTGTTCCCAATCTATTAACAACCATAATATATAAATTTCTTACAGCAGATATATCTATTACATCATTTAAACATCATAAAGTTTTAGTGAAATTATTATATTACAGATGAACAGCTAAACAAAAACTATAAGACACAAGAAAAAAGAAACATTGGTTATCTAAAATTCCATCATTTATAACATTTCCAAAGATCCCCATTCTCATTTCTAAAAGGTTCCAAACTCAAACTCAAAGATTGTTAACGTTAGCAACTTCCAAACATAATCTTTTTAACTGTCATATTTATGCCATCAATAATTCTAGTGACAACAATCTCCAAAAATTTAACAAAAATAAGAAATAATAATAACAAAACCTCTTTAAGCAAGAGAGAACCTTATAGCATCGACGAATGTGAAGTTTCTTTAAATTCTGGCAGCCTCTAGCTATACTGCCAATGCCCTCATCTCCAATATTAGAGCAATCTACCAAGTGAAGAGCTTGCAAGAACTTACAGCCCCTTCCAACTAAAAGAAGAGCCGAATTACCAATTCTTTGGCAGTATAATAAAGCTAACTCAGTGAGGCTCCTGCAAGTCATCAGAAAGTTTCAAATTGAAATCATCAGAAAGGTACTTAAAGATGGTAAATAACATCAAGTCAAAGAAATTTTGCAATTTGATGCACTAAAAAAGTGGGACAGATATGCAATACTAGCTGAAACTATGTTGAGGACATGTAGAAGTGACTTCTGATAGAGTTGCAATGAAATATAGCAAAAACGCTTTTGTGACCAAAACAAGAGTTCCCTGATTACCACATATATACAACAAATTAAATTAGGCTAATAAGAGAGAAGCATACTGGCAAGATTGTCCAATGGACTCCAGTCCCAGAGTCCCAATATTGTGGCAGCCATTGACTTCAAGATGTGCAAGTTCTTTGCAGCCTGCAGCTATTGCTTCCAAACCCTTGTCACTCAGGAAATAGCAATCACTTAGAGTGAGATTTTTTAACTTCTTACACCCATTTCCTATAGCACTCAAACCCCTGAAACGTAAGATAACCATCTCAAAATTTGCGCATCATCCCAATAGAATGATGACGCACAAGGAGAAATTCAGATATTCAAGGAACCTTATAAAAATTATAATTGCCAGAATTTTGTCACCTCTAATTCTAATTCAGCCCCATCTTATCCATAGCATGAAAAATACTCAGGTAAAGACATTGAAGCAATATCTCCAGATTTTGCATTCAATAAAGGAACTAATATAAGAAAAAATAATGACTTATCATGCAGAAGTTTTAAGTAGATAAGTTCAACTGAGTAAAAAACAACATCATGATGTTGCATTAAATATCCACGAAGATTAACTAACATGTCCGTAAATTGCTGGAAACTGTTTAGAGCCAATAACTCCAAAGACAAACAACGAGTTCCCACAGCTATCAAAGCCTCATCTGTAACGTTAACACATTGAAGCTTCAAAACTTTTAGATGAGGACATCCTTGGGCCACAGCAAGCACCCCTTTGTTGTGGATGAATTCTGAATCCAATGACAATGTTTCAAGAGATTTACAGTGAGAACCCACAGCTTCTAATGATACATCAGTAATTTTTACACAAGCCGCAACACCAATAGATTTTAAAGATTTCCCACAGCCGAGAGCCAAGTCAACTAGACCCGTATCAGTCAAACCTTCACAAAAACGCAAATTCAGATCTTCAAGTTGCTTGCAACATTTCCCGACAGCAGATAGCCCTTGATCTCCAACGTAACAACCCTTGATAAAACAACATAAGCAATGATAGTACATTAAGTACTCAAATGGCAAGTGAAATTTAGGGAAAATAGGCAAAGCAACTTATGCAATAAAAAGCATAACCAACACTCAGAACGAACAGAAGAATTAACGATGTAAGGAAGTAATAACATTGCTTGGAGTTCTCACAGGCTCCGAACTTAAATCAATGAAGCATACCTCATATAGTATTCTCAATAATTTAACTAATTAATAGAGATTAGAAACTCGGGAGAGAGAGTTTTTCATTTTCCATGTTCTATTTCTCTCTTTTTACTTTCCGAATAAAGCTTAGTAGAAACCAGCATCAAAATGTTTTGTCTGCATGAAAAGGGCTACTGTTTCCATCTGATCAACCATCAAGCTAACCCATTAAACACGCAGGAAAAAGCTCTGATGTGGACAGCTTACAGGCTAACTCAGCAGATTAAGAAATCTAACCTACAAGCCCTGTTATTGGAACATATACATACATATGTCTGTTAGCAGGGATTCCTGACAGCTCTTCACAGTGGATCACATTGAGCAATCAAGGAACTCTAACCTTGTCCCGAAATAGGTCAGGCAAAATAATTGATAGTTGTATATGAACACACCACATACAAGGGTCAATACACACGAAGAAAGGGCCTTGAACTAGATGGATTGGGTTCTTGGCATACTATATGCTCTCTGTATTATATGTTTTTGAAAATTTCACAAGTCTTACAAAGACTAGGCTTCATAAGCTTTCTAACAGCCTCCATAGGCTAAGCCATTCCTTTTACAACAACAACATTTTTAAAAATCTCAAATAGGATACATGTATGCAGGTTTAGTCCCAAAATTTCCTCCTAAATATATAAAAACTTAGTTCTTAATATGGAGGCCTCTGTGAACTATGTACAGGCTTGAATGACACCAACACTGGAACTAGATTTCACAAAGATTATGCTGGCTACAATAAACTCACTTCCTCATATGGTCGGAAAAGATAATATATAAAACAATATCCAAGAATTGATACCTAAAACAGTAATAAATATTAAGATAAAAGTTTAACAAATACCTGTAAATCCAAAGATTTCAAGTATATACACTTGTAAGCAAGGGACATTAAACCCACGCTGGATATGTTAGAGCACCAGATTAAGCTCAATTTTTCAAGCTTCGAAAAACCTTCAGCAAGTGCGGTCAACCCAGCATCTGATAAACAATATGATTCAACTTGACCTTCCTCGGATCCACTTATTTCACTAACATATTGCAGCTTAGGCGATGAAAGAGCCAACTGATCACTGCCACGTCTTTTTCCCTGCAGAAGAAATTTCATCTTTACATCAACCTTAAACAAAATAAAACAAAATCCTATCATATTATGAATAATTAACGATTAAAACCAGATAATTTTAAAGTCATTACCGAAATTAAAAAAAAATAGAAAAAGAAAATAAAATAAGAAAGGATATATAAAATCATCAGAGGCTTCTTACGAGTTGCACAGGAAGAGAAATGGAAAGGCGTTCATCGATGTGAATGTTCTTAACGTTGACGAAGCGGCGCGCAAGCAACTTGACGAAGAGGTCGGGGCTACCGGAGGCGCCGATGCGGAGAGTGGTGCGGCTGAGGCGCTCGAGAGTGAGCCAACGCTTGCAGACGAGGGAGCAGGCGTCTCGGCTAACCTTGGAGTCGAAGTGCCGGAAGATCTCGAGAATCACCTCATCCGGCAGACAGGCGTTGATCCGATCATGCCCTCGCATATCACGAATCCAATGATAATGATAACGATGATGATGATGATGTGTTGAATCTAAGAGATTGTTTTATTTTGTGCTTTGCTTGCGCGCGTCTGTCTTCTTATTATGTTTTTTTTTCTCTTGGGACTAGCAATCGGTGGAGTCGGGAGGAAATTTAACTGCCCGAACATCCTAAGTTTGGATTTTAAAAAATAACCTGAAAATTTTTAAAATTTAAAAATCTGACGTGGCACACTTAATTGTACCTAAACATGCAAAGAAAAAAAAAAAAAAAGGCTAGAGTGAAAAGATTAAAATGTATATAGGTAATAGTCTAATTAATAAAAATTTGTTTAAATTTTGAAAATTAAAAAACGACGCCCTCCCTTCAAAATCGCTTAATCAAGCAGTATACCCAAAAAATAACCAATGAAACGCCTTCCATTTCTCCACGATTTTCAGTGATAAAAGTTCCATATTTCTGGCCAATATTCGATCCTAAAGCTTTGTTACACAAAAATCAATGCTGGTATTTACAAAGAGGAGGAAAACCCAACCCCACTCCAAATCCTAAAGTCCGACAATAGCGACTGTTTAAAGGTTGTCGAAGAAGACGCTCCGATGGATCATCTGATGAGTGAAGGTGGTCCAACGGTAGAGGAGACAACGACGGCACAAGAACAGAGAGGAAAATCAGAAAATGGTTCTAAATAGGAGGACACCAGCGAGAATTCAAGCAAGAAAGAGGACACCGGTGAAGAAAAGGTACGTTTTTTACTGGTGGTTTTGAATTTGATGAAAAAATTGATTGGTTTGTGCGAATTTGGGGGATATATAGTTGGTTTTGATTATTACGGTGGTTGTGGCGTTTTGTCGAACAGTTGGCGGGCATCGGGGGAGTCGTTTTGTTTGGGTTTCAAAGGATGAAGGAAGGTAAGGGAGGTCGTAGGGAGGTTGTTTGTGGGAAGTTGAAGGGCTAGGGATGGTAGGAGGGGGCGGAATAGGGGGGTTGGAGGGCTACCCTGCATATTGCAGGGCTGGCTAATAAGTGCTTGAAAATGCACTTATACTTAGTGTTTTATAGGTATTGTTTGTGGGAAAGTAGGGTTAATTTGCATACATTAACTTAATTGTTTCATAAATACACTTTTTGGGATCATGGGTGCTTTTGTAGTGTTTGCAGGAAATAATTGTTTAAAAATAATATTTGGATGGGAGATGATGTTGGCAAGAGAATTTTTTATGACAGAAAACAAACAATTCGAAAATCAGACTTGAGACGAGGAAGTTATGGTGGATTTACCGTCATATGCAAAATTTGGAAAATGCTCCAGTTTTGAGTAGAGATGAAGATCTTTCGATGCCACGACATAAAATTTATAGTGCCGCGGCATCTGCTCTCAGGTTTGAAGGGAGGATTTCTAGAAGAAGTGTGCCGAGGCATGAAAATTTCATGTCGAGGCAGGCATGATGAACGAGTTTGGCGTCGAGGCATAAAAAATTGGTGCCGCGGCATAGAACGGGAATTTTAGAAAAATAAGGAGTCTTTTAAAACTTAATCCGAATTTTGTTCTCCTATATTTTAAGGACTTTCCCATTATTTTTCCCACAACCTTAGCACTATAAAAGGATGTCTTTAGGTATTTTTTAGAAGGGAGAGAAGAGAGGATAGAGAACAAAAAAATACTCAATAATGTAGAGATTAAGAGAGATTAAAAGAGGCTTAGAGAGAAGAATTGAAGAAGATCATCATCAACTCCATAATCTACTCAAGCTTTCCTAAGTTTTTATTTTTCCTTTGTATTATTTGTTATCATGAATACAATGATGTTTTTATTTTTATTCATGGGTAACTAATTCTTTTGTGATTGAGGGTGATTTCAAAGCCCTAAACATCTCTTGAAATTAATAAAATCTACATCTATTTATCTTTTGATCCCTCTTGGTTATGTGATTATTTCTCTGTGAATAGGGTTTAGATAGATTGTCTTAATTGTTTAAGTGCCCAATTAAATTGTTAGGATTAATCTGTTAATGCCAATTTAGGTTGTTTAGTACGGAATCACTTTATTAACCTAAATAACCATCGGTAAAGTGTATGCTTGCATGCATTGGGGGTAATCACTCAAGATAACTAAACCGATCATATGAGTTTAGCCTTGATTCAGTAGGTCTCTCGCAACTTAATGCTTTTATTACTTTGAATCTAGAGATCGTATCATAGGTTATCTAATAAATAGGGAATTGAGTTATGACCGTGTCTAGTCCAACGACTCAGTAAGGAGAGATGGAACTTACCAACGTTTGGTATTTTCTGAGCTGATGTGATCAAGATGGTAGAAAGTTAAAGAGTGCTTTTATTATATGTAATTCGTATCTAGTGGTGGCGAATAAACCTTCAATCTCGCTTCTCTCTTATTCATCTCTTTCATGATTGTTTGTGTTTTACTTTGTTTAATTTTAGTTTGCTAGTTTTTGTTGAGTTTTTATAATTCGTGACAAACTTCATTAGAAGTAGATAATTAATTAAGTTTATAAATCCTCTGCGGGAAAGACCACTCTTTGTTACTACATGACTTTGCATTAGAAGTTAGTGAGGTAAAATTAGGTGTTACATTTGCACGCATCACTGGCCACGCATAGCTACGTGCGTGTAGCTACACACGCACAACTGCGTTCGCATGCTGCATGTGGCTAGCCCTGCAATATGTAGGGCAGCCCGCAGCCCCCTATTCCACCCCCTCCTACCATCCTTAGCCATCTCCAGTCATGGAACCTACCACAATAGCCTCCATAGGGCCTACATTGGCTTCCCCGGTCCTCTAGAAGCCAAAAACACCCACTCATCGATGCCCTTGAAGCCCATATCCCCCAAATTGGCAGCCTATTGGCTGTTTTGGTTTCTTTTTTTTGCTAATATTTAGTTTATATCAACTGTGCAAATTTTCCGAAGCGTAAATTATAAAGACTATGGGTTGGAGGTTGTAACCGATAAGATACCGTACTTCCCCGTAAGGGTGATAGTTAGGTCGAGTCAAAATTTTTTGAAGAGAATAAAGGATATTTTAGAGGAACAAAGGAAGGGTATAGACCGATTCAAAGATAGTTGTTTTGGTCATTTTGCGGACATAGGAGAAAATTGGAAGAAAGCGTTCTAGGGGCAAGAAGTGCACTATATGTTGCTACACTCAGTTAAAAGCCAAGACAAAAAAAATGAAATGTGGTTCACGGTGGATGGAAAGCCACTACATTTTGGGATGATGGAATTTGCCCTGATGACAGACTTAAGATGTGGGGCATTTCCAGATGCGGAAGAGTAAGAGAGAATAACGAAGAGTAGGGCAACCGATAACTTGGCTAAAAAGGTTTTGGGTGGGAAGGCGTCTATTATGGGACGTGATTTAGAGGAGAGTTTAGGAGAAGATGGGTATACCTCTTCAGAGAAGTTCATGATGTGCCTAGTATGGTTCGTGCATTCGATCCTAATGACTTCTCAACAAAAGCCATTAATATGGATTTGGTGAAGTTTGGAAGCAACATGGAGTTCTTTAATGCTTATTCATGGGGACGGTTTTCATTTCAGCTAACCATTGAGTCCTTGCGCGGAAAAGAAACGGCGATAAAGCAACACCAAGCTGTCAAGAAGGATAGACCGAGCATGTACAATTTGTTTGGCTTCCCATGGGCAATGCAGGTAGATATTAATAGTTTTTTGTTATATTTTTTGTATTATATGTGTTTTAATTATGATATAGACTGTTTTTTTACAATGTAGGCTTGGATGTATGAGGCCGTCCCTGTCTTGGCTAAGGCGGGGGGCGGAAGAAGACTTCGGATGAGCAATCACAATTTCCTAATGGGACTATGACAAAATAGAAATGGAAATTCAAGCGACTCAAGTAAGATTAAAGGATTAATCTTTTGAATATGCACTTGCTTTTAAATGTGGCTTAAATTTGATTGATTTTTTATCTTATTGTAAGGAGTCGTCCGTCCCTTCCTTACCCCAACTATGGGTGAAGTGGGAGAGGAGTATGTTACATCGTTCATAGCACCAGACGATGTAGCAGGTGAGGGGATAGACCGCCTAATGCAAGACCTAGAACGGGTCACGCATGTGAGTGCAGCTACAAGGCCACTGCTTGGGAATGTGTTTGAGGCTGAGGAGGATGAAGCTCCAGTCGGCGAGAGGGAAGAGGAGGATGAAGAGGTTCGTATGCCTCCACCCAATTGGCAAACGGGGACAACAAGTACTTATTTGCCGAGGCATCGGGGTCGAGAGAATAAGGTAGTTGACCTCATAAATGGTCTCTTTGAAAGTTTTACAACAGTATTTTATGAGAGGTTTGAGAAGATGGAAGAGTGGATGAAAATGGTGGAGGAGAAAGTTGATAGGGTGGCGGAGAAAGTTGGTAGGGTGGAGGAGGAAGTTGGTGGGGGTATTGAAAGTGGTTAAAGTGCAACATGAGCATAAAAGAAAGAACCGAAAGAGTAAGCACGTAAAATCTCCTTACATGGCAGTAACGTATGGAAAAAAGAGGAAAACGAAAAAAAAAATGAGGAAGTCCATGAAAGTGGAGAAGCAAAAACGAAGGAGGGTAAGGAGGAAGGCGAAGGAAGTGGGGAAGTGAAAATGGAGGGTGAGGAGGGATGCAGCGGAAGTGGGGAAGTGAAAATGGAGGAGGGTGTGGAAGAAGGCAGAGGAAGTGGGCAAATAAAAACAGAGGAGTTAAAGGTCAATTTGCATAGGCTAATAGATGAGGAAAAGAAAAAAAATATTCTATGCCTATTACAATGATTCTGGAAGTGATAGGCGTGTGAAGTGCAAGACTGAGAATTATCCCCAGGAGTGGTTTGAAAAGATGTTGACAATGGGCAAATGGCTTGACAACTCGATGAGTTTTTTTTCCGTACTTTTCCTTATTTTTGTTTATGTTTTCCATGAGGTATTGTATAATCGCTTAAGCAATTTGTTTATTTATTTATTTTATCTTTTTTTTTTTTTTTTTTGAGGAGGTCACTTAAGCAATCTGTTTTGTTTTAAGAGATCACTTAAGGAAAAACCGTTGATGAGGTATTTAAATAGACACTTATCATATTGTTTTTATTTGATGCAGCACATTAATGAGGTATTGGCAT